GGGAGCCTCTGAGACAGCCGGCCTTGCCTCTAAAGCGTCTGATTTGTCTCTGCATCGGTTTCTGCTGGGTGGTGGTTCGGCAAACTGTATTGCACTCCGCTGCGCTGCTGCTCCACGTCTTGGTTCTGCATGGCGTTGGGCTGCTCAGCGTGCTGCGGACTCAGGCCTGGCTTTGGAGCTTCTTCAATCCGTGTGCCAAATAATGGTGCATATTCGAATGTCCAACTCTCCCGCAAACGAACATGTTTGTACTACGCCCTCGGCGACAGAAAAGAGGCAACAACAAGACCATGAAGCAATTCATTAGTAAAACGATACGTGGTACCGGCTGCCGTATGATAGATCAGACAAAAGACCACGCAAGAGATCATACGGGAGACCGTACGGGGATCAACAACAAACCACAAAAAACGAAACCGCGCGGGATACCATGCGGAATAGCATCGTGGAGACCAAACGAGAGACCATAGAGGAAACCACCCGAGAGACCACACCGGAGACCGTAACAAAAAAACTGCACGAGAAAACGAACGGAAGACCTACGATATCCCATACAGAAGACCATCGGGAAACCACAGTGGAGACCACTGGGGGGACCACACGGGAAACCGCACCGGAGACTGAACGAAGAACCATGCGGAAAACTTTTCGGGAGACCACACGGGGAGCCAGACCGGAGACCACGCGGGAGACCATGCCGGGGACCACATGGGAGATCGTGCGGGAGACGACACGGCAGACCACGCGGGCGGCCACGCGCGCGGTGAAGCATGCAGGAAACCATACGGGAGTCTATACAAAAGACCACACGGGGGACTATACGAGGGGACCAAGCGGGAAACCAACCATACGGGATACCATTCAGGAGACCACGGGTCACCAACTCTGGACCTCGACGAGCCCACAACTGGCTCAAGGAGTTGTATACCGGGCCCTTGAAACACATTACTCAGGGAATATTTCAGACGTGCCTTGTTCGTGTCCCAATATTGGTGCAAGAAACGATGCCGATAGAAATACATGTACGCACATGTGCATGTATAGTGACCCGTACGAAAAGGTCGGTATCCCCACCTGGCAGGACATGCTACCCATGTCGTATCCCCGCACGCCTCACAACCTTGAAATATTGGTGCCTCCCGCGGTGTCCTACACCGCTGCGCTGCCGCAGCCTATGTGTTCCAAGCGATGGGGCGCGAACTATCTGGTGCGACCTCTGGGGGGAAGTCTACGTGGTGCAAGTGAAATGAACAATTTGAAGGCGTCGTCTCCAACGCTCTCCGCCAACTGGAATGCTCACGCAAACGACGCGCCGCCCAACCACCCGCCACTTGTTGGCGAGACTCAACCGTCGCAGTGACGCGAGGCCCCTTTCATCGAGCAGTGGCTCGGGCGGGCGAGTGTTGAGGATGATGGTGGCGCGGACGACGACAGCGATGACCACGACGATGACGATGTTAACGATGATGGCATTTGTGGGGATGACGACTACGCATGGTGATGGTGATCAAGATGATGGTGATGACGGTGGCATTGATGACGCTGGCGATGACGATGATGATGCTGATGATGATGATGATGATGATGATGATGATGATGATGAATCTGATGCTGATGATGATGATGCTGACGATGCGCGCGCAATCATTGGGACACACTGTCGCCATCTTTGTTGAGATGCCGCAGGGTATTCATATATGCGCCATCGCTGTGTTGGAACGCTTCGAGTATCAATGCTTTTGGACGACATTCGACGCGCGCGCTGGGAGATGCGCGCGCACGGCTCCCATGATATGATCAAACAGATTTGTCAGTTGCAAGATGCGTATTGACTGTTTTCGGCATGCACGCGCAAGGTCTCATTCGACACCATGGCCAACAAGCTATGGTGTTCGTATGGTTTCAGCGAGTGCGCGCGCAGAACTCTGGCAACATATTGTTAGGGTGTCCACATATATCACAGTTTTTTGTTTGCCAAAGATGTGAAGTGTATATATATATGTATATACATATATATGTGTCACAAGGTGTATATATAACTATGTGAACTATCGGCATTGCAAATACCCTGAATAATGACACAACCATATGCAACTGCGTGTACGCAAGGCAGATGATACGACTGAGAGGGTCGGGGAACCTACGACCAGTGTAGGAAATGCTCCCTCCTTTAAAGCAATGCGCCGCACATTGGATGCAATTCGAGCACTGCGGGCCCAGAACATGATTGGGGAAGCCACTGAACACCATACGCAGCATTGCCACTGCAATTGCAGTCTGGTAGGCAATATCGCACAATTCAGAATAGCGACGCCTTTCCAAACAGAGGCCAACGCCGACATACGGGCGCTGCGACTGGGGCCTCCAGTGGAGCTCTCTACGGGGGCCCCGTGCGGGGTGTACCGACATGCGCTCGAGTCCGCATGCGGGCGCTGCCATTGTGGCCTGCGGTGCACCGCTTGTGGGGCCACGAAAGGTGTAAGGGCTTGCGAAAATGGATCCGAGTCCGCATGTGGGCGCTGCTAATAGGTTCGGTGGAGGTCCCTATGTGGCCACGAAGCATTTGAGGGGTGTACCGGCATGGACTCGAGTCCGCATGCGTGCGCCATCACTGGGGCTTCGGGTGGAGCTGCTTGTGGGACAGGATCTGCCTGTGGGGCCACGAGGCGTGTAAGGAACTTGACACAATGGACCCGAGTCCGCATGCGAGCGCTGCCACCCAGGCCTTCGGTGGAGCTGCCAATGGAGCCACGGCATGTGGGCGCTGCCATTGGGACCTTCGGTGGAACTGCCTATGGGGCCACGCGACGTGCAAAGGGTGTACGGGGATGGACCCAACTCCGCATGCGGGCGCTGCCGCTGGAGCCTTCGGTCGAGCCCTGTATGGGGCCACGAAGCGTATGAGAGGTGCGCCGAAGCGGGCGCGGGGATGGTGATGATGATGATCACGGATGACGACCATCAATGATGATCACGATGATGATGACGATGATGCTGGTGAAGTGATGATGATGATGACTGCGTTGCGTTGCGTTGCATAGGCGTCCTGCCATGGTGCCTCCTTGGCCCGAAGCCGCACACAGAAGCTTAAATTACAGCGGCGTCGAGAATTACATCACATATTTCCGCCATTCAAGCCATGCCTTCTGCCCATCTCTCCAAGACAGCCCGCAAAAGGGTTGAAAGAGCCAACTGTCCCCATAGAACTTGTAGAAATCTCGCCCCCAGCGCCAAATCCCGACTGGGCGGTGTTTCAAATGGGGGCCCTGCCATCTGGTCATGACCGTCATCCGAGTCATCCACGCTCTATCGTGGAATCGCAGCACGCGGTACGCGACTCGCTTCCTGGAGGATCGACCGAGGGCCTGCAGATGGCCTCCCCAGTTGTGCTGGAGGCGTCTACAGGTCTGTGGCCAAGGCTCGAGGTTATATCGCGTGCGAACGTCTGCGACGGCTGACATTGCCGTCTTCATAATTTCGGAAGCGGCCTCTCCTCGAGGACGGCACATCATGCGTTTAAGCAAGGTGTTGTGACACTGGGAGATTCCACTCGTTGCTGATAGTGCGATGTGAAGACTGCATATACAATGCGTGAGTGCTGGCCGCTCACATCTGTCCACGGCCCTCGAACGTTTCTGGAGGCTGACTTTGCGATTGGTCAGCAGCGTGCGGTGGGCGGCCCACGTGCGCCACGCCCGCTGGATTCTGTTACAATCCTCGTGCATGCAGCCACAATCGAAAACAATACAAGTCCCCAGGATCTTTAAACCCACGGCCCTCGCTTTACACTGGGCGCTGGTGCCTCGGACGCGAAGCGTGGTGAGTTTGGAAAAACATGTATGGCACCGCTCCATCTCATTTACTGGGAGTTCCCAACCACCGCCGTTTAACATCCTGAGCTAGGCTTCCGTCATATCTTTGTCCATCGAAACCGAATAGGCCAAACTCCAACAATTATCTGCAAACCTTAGCGCTCCGAGAACCTCATCCACCCCGCCTAGGGTAGTCAGGCACGCGCCCCACCCGTTTTTGCGACAGAGAGCCTGGAACTCAAACAAGCACTGATCAAGGACAATGTTGTGAAGCTCGGGCGCCGCCAGATCCCCGTGGATCAGCGTTTTCTATCTCCGCATCGGATCCGTGAGGTCGTTCCTGGGCAGACGGGCGCGAGCCTGGGACCCGCGAGTCTCCCTAATCAGCAAGCCTATCGCTACGCGGGGCACGCCATGGGTATCTGGGCGTCGAGCGAAGGCGGCATGCTTGACATTATCATGCAATCTTGAACGGCCACCCCTCCCAGGGCGTGGGTCCCAAGAGACTCGGAACGGCGTCAGCCTAACGGAAAAAGACAGCTGGCGTGACGAGGACTTTCATTTCTTTTTGCAGCGCCGAGAGCTCAGGCCCACACCTGAGTACACTTGCGATGGCGGCTGACGGCAGAGCTGAAACACTGAGAGCCCACTGGCCCACGCGGCCGAGGAACTCGAGAAATCTGACAGTCTGGCCAGACCTGAAATCAAACCCGAATTCGCAGAAGTCCAAGCTACTTTGCCTTCCACTCCAGCGTTTCCCTGGGTGGGAAGGGCGGGGCGGCAGAAAGGCTTGAGGGGGAGAGGCAGCGGGAGGGGAGAAAGCGAATGCACAAGCGATGAGACCAAATGCAATGCAATCTTGAACGGACACCCCTCCCAAGGCGTGGGTCCCAAGAGACTCGGAACGGCGTCAGCCTAACGGAAAAAGACAGCAGGCGTGACGAGGACTTTCATTTCTTTTGGCAGCGCCGAGAGCTCAGGCCCACACCTGAGTACACTTGCGATGGCGGCTGACGGCAGAGCTGAAACACTGAGAGCCCACTGGCCCACACGGCCGAGGAGCTCGAGAAATCTGACAGTCTGGCCAGACCTGAAATCAAACCCATATCGAACGCTGGAGTAAATCCCATATCAACTCCATTGGCTTGCCGAGGGAACACTGCAGCAGGCTGAGCGCTGAGAGGCAGCTTACGAGAGGAAGGACCACTGCATGGCCTCTGCACGCTTAGCCTCTGCTTTCACAGCGGCCGAGAGGCGTCTGAAAGAAGCAAGTGCACGGCCGCTCTTCTGATAGCGCTGTACAGAACGGAAGCTCGACCACCTGCCGCGAGACTGAATGTCGGCCAGCGAGCGGGCGCCTCTCAGGTAGTCCTCCGACGGACCGCCGTGCCGAGGGAGGTGGGCCGTCACCTTGGTCGGGAGGCCGACGGCGACGGCGGCCTTCTTGAGCAAGCGGTTGTACGAAGCGTACGAGTGGAGGAACATGAGGCGCCCCTGGCGGGCTTGGTTGGCGCTCTTGACGAGGGCCATGAGAGCGCCGGCCACGCCAGCACGAGACTGGCCATCGATGAGCACGGTGTCGTCCTGGAGGCCAGTCTTGGTCACGCGAGTGTGCGCGTCGTCGCCCATGACCAGCGCGGAGGCACCGACGACGAGCCCCATCTTGTTGTAGCCTGAGCCGGCACTCGGCTGCGGCAGGATGCAGCAGGGCACGCGAAGGTCCAGCAGCTCCCCAGGGCGCAAGTACGTGTCACACTGTACCACCAGGCCGCGGGCGGCCTGCAGGGCAATCTCCGTGTTGAGGCCGGCCAGGTACAGGGCCATCAAGCACGCTGCCGCCCAGCAGAGCGGCTCCGAGGTGACGTCCGGCTCGAGCTTGCCCCAGCCGGAGAGGGCGCCCTTCGCCTTCGGGAAGACGTCTGGGGCACGAAGCGACACGCTGAATCGGTAGGCCAAGGCGGCCAAGGTGTAGCGGGCCGTGCTCTTGCTGCCGCCGTCGACGTAGAGCTGCTCGAAGTACTCCTCGAGGAGCGTGTCCACCAGGGGGAGGTCTTTGCTCACCCAGCGGTCGGCGACAACGCCCATGGCCGTGGCGAACACGACGACGCTGGCGAGGTAGCGGGCCTGAGTGGCCGGCCGCACCTGCGAGCGCCGCAGGAAGCCCGGCGAGGAGTCAGCAGGCACCTGGCGGGCCCGGGCAGCCGACGCCCGGCCTCTGCCGAGGCTTCGGCCTTGCCCGTGGCCGCGGGAGGCCGACGAAGCGGCCCCAGCCCTCGGCGTCGGGCGGCCAGAGCGCGACCCACTTCCGCGGGCAGCTGGGGCACTCGAGGGACGGCTGGACGTCGTCCATCTTGGCTGCACGGCGGAGCTGAGTCTCCCAGTGACCGGGCAGCAGTGGATCCCCATCTGGTCGCCAGGCTCCCGCGGGCGCCGCACGCGCCAAGGCCCGAGCGGCGCTGTGGCAGACACCAGGAGGGTAGGCGCCAGCCAGGGTCGTGCGCCAGAACTGCTTGAGCCGACCCTGGCGATCACGGACCTTGACCTTCCCCTGAAGATGCTCGTGGGCATGACCTCCAAGACAACGCCTTTCAAGGATACCGAGCTCGGGGAGGTCGGACTCAATCCTGGTGGGCTTCTGGTACGGGGCTCCAAACTGACAGCAGTCATACACCACGGAGACCTTGCTATGCTCGGACAGGAACTTCTGGAGAGGCTCCCAAGAGAAGAGCCGGGATCCCCGGGGGTTCTCGAGGGACCACCTGACGCCGAACTGAACGCACAAGCGAAGTAGACGAAGAGTGACATGAGCACACCGCCGACCGGCGCGCATAGCAGACGTATCATTGGCCCCACGGCGAGCAACTGACCACGGGGTACACGGAGTCCCGAAGTGCACGAACCAGACCTTGCGAGAGACGATCCACTGGCGAACGACGGTCTCGATGCTGGGCCGAAGCAGGTCGCCCCAACCCCCGAACTTGATGTCGATCGGAGCCGCGACAGCCAGACCGAGCTGCGCGAGAGCCCCCGTCCAGCGAGCCCCCCCCGAGAAGATCTCGAGAGCCGCCCGACGTCCACGAAGCCGAGGTACAGGAACACGAGCCGGCTCGACCGCGACGAACGGCATGGGCGGAGGGGGCGGCAGCCCGGGAGGCTCTGTCGTCCATTTTCGGCCAGGCCGGGCATGCAAACGAAGGCTCCCGAGGGCAGGCGGCCCGCGCGGCGCGCTCCCGACGCGCGTGCGCGGCCCGGAGCGGCCCAGACGTGGCGGGGCCCGCTCGGAAGAGAGGTGCCGAGGCCCCGGCACGAGTCTCCGTCCGACTCGTCCGAGGGCCCCAGCAGGCCGCGGCGAAGGCACTGGCCGCGGCCGTGGGCGGCGCCCGCGTGGGCAGGCCGCAGGCGGCGACGGGTCGCGGGCCCCCTCGGCCTCGTCGAACGTCGCCTTGCGTGCAGGGTGGCCAGGGGCGCCGGCTGCGGGCCCCTCTTGTGGCCGTGGGGCGCGCCGCGGCCCGCAGCGGCCAGCAGCTCCAGAGGCCCGCGGCGGCGGCCGCGGCGGGCAGGTCTGCAGTCGGCCGCCGCGCAGCCGCACTGCGGGGGGAGGCTCGCAAGCCTCCTCGGCGACTGGCCAGCTGGCGGTCGCCGAGGGCGCCGGCGGGGCCGGCGCCGGGGGCGCCGACTGCGGGCGCCCAGCGGGCAGAGCGGGCCTCTCCGACCTGCCGCCGACCCGCCGCTGTCCTGGGCGGCAGACGCCCTGCAGCGCCTTCCTCGACCCCGCGTCACTGAGGTTGCGGTCCGTGTCGAGGTGCCGGCGCCGCCAGGAGATCCCGCAGGCGATCTGGTAGGCGGCGGCCCTCCGGCACAGACAGGCGAGGCCGTGGTCCACGGCTCGCCCCTTCTCGACGGAGAGGAGCTCCGACATGTTGTCGCCCAGGCTGAGCACCCGGGAGCCGTGGCAGTCGACCTGCCGGGCGGCGTGCCGCAGGCCGCCCAGGGCGATGCGGCCCTCCAGCAAGTGGATGGGGGCCGTGCGGCGCCAGGCGCCCTCGACGATGAGAGACCAGTCCCTGGGATCGACGAGGCTGTCGGGCACGGAGACGCCAGCAGGTCGCACAGTGGGTCTGAGCCGGCCCTTGAGCACGCCTCGGGCGCCCTCTCTCGAGCGCGTCGGCGGCGGGGCCCAGACGGCCACGCCTGTAGCGCCCGGCGGCTCTCCCAGCACCCCTCCAGCGCCAGGTACCCAGCCCGGGGAGAAGGTGTCGTTGAGCGCCGCGTCGGGCCGCTTCTCGTCGGGGACGAACCTCCACCTCTCCCGGGTAGCAGCGAGCTGCCGAAGGAGTCGAACGTCAGCGCGTCGGCGATGGAGGGCGTAGCCTGCCTCGGACGAGTCGGAGCACAAAACCAGGGAGGACATCGGCCGGTCCAAGAAGACGACGGCCTGGAAGATGAGGCCCCTGAAGAGCTGGATCTCCCGGCGGGCCCCAGCAGACAGTGCGACTGGAGGCCCCTGACCCTGCGCGTCCACGAAGCGGTAGAGCAGGCGGAAGATCGAGAGGGCCGGCCGCAGCAGCAGGCAGTGCTGCACACAATGCCCGAGGAACACTCGGATCTGCCAGGCCGCGCGCGGAACCCCAGGGCGCTCGAGCTCCTGACAGGCCAAATAGAGGCGCCAGGCTCGGTGATCGGAATGCCGCAGACGCCTCCGCCTCCCGTCGTACTCGACGCCGACGGTGGTGAAGTGCGTGGCCGGGCCCTCGACCTCGTGGTGCGCGATGCCGAGCGAGTCGAGCTTGTCCTTCGCGGCCTGCAGCGCGTGCCCGACGTCGTCGCTCGAGAGGCCCAGGAACGAGACGTTGTCCACGTAGACCGACCCTGTGGGGCGGAAGGGTGCCGCGACGGGAGCCGGCTGCTTGTCAAGCAGCAGGCGTCGGGCACCCCCCGGCAGCGTGTCCGAGACCCAGGACGTGACGGACGAGTGCACGGCCCAGAGTGCCCATGACCACCCCATCGGCACCCCGCGGAAGACCGGGAACACGAGCTCGTCGGGGTCGACAGGGGACAGGCCGTCGGGCGTCCAGATATGGGAGACCTGGTAGTAGGACTCCCGCTCAGGAAAGTCCATCCCGAAATCCTCCGCGACGCGCTCCGAGAAGAACTGGTAGAACGAGTCCTGGAGGTCGAGGGACGACCCGAAGATCTGAGCAGGCGAGCCGTCAGCACTAACCCATCCGGCGTCCGCGAGCGCAGCATCGGACCAGTCCTGCTCGCTGAGGGCAGCCGGGGTCCCGAGGGCGGCATGCGGGGGCGCCCAGTGGGTGCGGTTGGTGTCGCGAGCGTCGACGACCAGGCGGATCCAGCCGCCCTTCTTCTCGACAAAGAAACGCCCCACGCGTGACCTGATCCGCCTCCGAAAGCCGACCAGCCCCCGCCCCGCGAGCCTGAGGAGGAAGTCCCGCCGAAGGCGGGCGTCGCTGGCAAGCCGCGCGTCCCAGTACGGCTTGATCGGCGGCAGGAGCTCGAGGTCCTGCTCCACCACGCGGTCCGGCTTGCGGATGTAGGCGTCGGGGTCGCGGAAGGCGTCGACGACGAACTTGGGGCAGACCTCCTCCACGTCTCGAGGCGTGACCGAGGACTGCCAGAACTTGAGCTTGGACTCCTCGTACGGGACGACCTTGGACGGCGCGCCTCCGTAGAGCGAGTCGGACTTGAGGAGCTCCTGAAGGGCTCCGCGAGGGTGGAGATCTGCCGGGCGAGGGCAGTACTCCGCCACGCAGCGGCCGAGCTGCCGGCCGCACGAGGACGAGGTCGCCGTACCCGAAGTCCCTGAATCGGCAGCGCCACCTGGCCCGCGGCCACGATGGCGCACCGTGCAGGCGGCGAGACAGTTGATCGAGTGAACTGCCTCACGAACACGGTGTTCACGAGAGCGTCGCTGGAGCACCCGCTGGCGCAGGTACCGCGGCGCCCCGCTGAGGTCGACCGGCGGGCCAGGCCCCGGGGCCGAAAGCGGCAGCGGGTCCCCGTGCGAGGAGCGAGATCCCGATGCCATGGGGAGGACGTGGAGGCGGCCGCGGCGGAGGAACCCGCGGCGGCAGCCAGGCAGGGCGGGGCGCCGCAGGACGCCCAGCCCAAGGAGGGGGCCGGCCGGCCCCCTGCTACTTGCCAGCGTCGGCCCCGCCGCCCTTGGGCCCCTTCGGGGGCGCCTTGGGCTGCGCGGCCGTCCTCTCCTCCTGCCACTGCCGATTCGCCTTCATAGTCTGGGCGCGGGCGCGCGCCTGGTCGCCAACCCATCCATCGAACTCCGGCAGCACCATGCCGCCCGTGTCGTCGACCCCCGTGTCGAGGATGAGGTCGAGCCCCTCGAAGTCGGGAGCCCGAGTTTTCTTGCGGGTCGCCGACTCCAGCTGCTTGAGCCGCCTGACGAGGTACTCGGCGCCCGCGATGTTGAACAGGTCCAGCTGGTCGAACTGCTGCATCATCCGAAGAGACACGCAGATCATGTGGTGCTCGCGGGCGACGTTGCCGCGCTCGGCCACTCCGCTGCGTCGGAGCCACGTGGTGTGGTGCTCCTCCCAGTTGCCCTGACCTCCGTCGCGAAGGGAGAGCACAGCCTCCCTCGTGGCACGGCGGCCCTGCAGAGGCCAGCCCGGGATCGTCGTCTCCTTCATGCGGCGGACCGAGTCGCGGAAGTCGATGTACCTGCCTCCGTCCTGGTCCCTCTCGTCGCCGACGACACGCGGGTCCCGGCCAGCTCCCCCGCGAGCTCTCGCGAGGTACGTGTCGAAGTTCTGGCCCTCGCTCACCTCGATCGCGTGGACCCAGACGTCGTCGAGCCGGACGAGCCCGACATCCCCACGCCGCACCAGGACCTCCTCGTTGGCGAGCACCTGGGGCGGCACCTCCTCGCCGAAGTGCGACGAGGTGGGGTCGCTCACGTACCACTTGTCGCCCGGGAGGCCCACGACGCCGGCGAGGTCGAAGCCGAGGATCGTGCCCAGGGCCCTGGCCTCCTCGAGGTAGCCCTGCATGTCCTCCGCCGCCACGTCGTCGAAGGCGTAGATGTTCCCAGCATGCCGTGCTGGGAACGGGCCCGACCGCCGAAGGGCCAGCACCCGAAAGGTGGCCAGGTCGACGAAGGCCACCTCCCCGTCCGGCGTGAGCCAGATCCACTTCTGGGCATCTCCTTTCACCAACAGCACACGATGATGCCACTGGAAGTTCTCGTCGTCCTCGTACCTGACGAGGCACTGGCTGAACGGCGTGTCCAGCGCTCGGGCCATGGCGGCCCTCAGTCAGTGCGGGTGCCAGGAGCCCGCCGGCCTCGCCCGAGAGCCGACGGCGTCGCGACGTGCGTGCCGCCGGCGTCGTCCTCGACGGCGAGGGCCCGCGCTCGCACCGCCGGCCGACCCGGCGCTCCAGCCGCCAGCCAGGCCGCTGTCGCCAGTCCAGCGCCAAGGGCCACGCCCACCACGGCCGCGCCGCAGAGGTCGAGCCCCGTGTAGTGCCCAGGCGGAAGCGGGCACGGAGGGCAGGGCTGGCACGCGACCCCCTGCAGGTGCTCCGGGCCGCAGCGTGCCAGCTGCTCCCGGAGGATGGCCACCAGGCCGTCGGTCGTGTCCGAGCCCTCGAACACGCAGCGGCAGGAGACCTCGGCGACCCCGCTGCGGCCAGCCCCGGTCCAGCGCTCGGAGAGCGCCCCGAGAACCCAGCCGCCGGCAGCGTGCACCCAGGCGGCCATGAAACGTTCACGGCAGAAAGGCTTGAGGGGAAGAGGCAGCGGGAGGGGAGAAAGCGAATGCACAAGCGATGAGACCAAATGCAATAGAACTTGCGGGTGCCCCCTCCGACGACAACGAGGGGGGGGGTCCCGATATTCACATAACTTCTCCACCAATTTGCGCGAGCTATAAAGCACTTCGTGTGCCTGGTGCCCTCTACGAAACGCGAACTGGTTCTCACGTCGGCAGCTATCCATGGAGCTTTTCTGGGTCTCCATGACCATCATGCTTTAGACTTTCGGCAACACTGGGATCAGGGCAATCGGTCGAAACTGACTTACTTTCTTGACATCGGGCGCCTTCCGAATCAACTGGATCACGTGCCCCGTCCAGGCCGTGTCGAAATACTCCGAGAAATGGTTTTGCACCCGCAACCGCAGCGCCCCCAACATTTGTTCTAGAACGTCGTCATCGACCCCTGAAGAATTTCTCCCGCAATCATGTCCGTCTCATCGTACGACTTGCTGTTTTTCCAATTGTTCGATGCGCATCCTGAGCAGCGGCAGGCTGAGCGACGCCTGCTGCTGCTGCTGCTGCTGCTGCTCCGCCGACCACGGGTGGTAGATCCTGTGTGGCAGCTGCCTGTCGCCTTGCGGGTCTCGGAACAGGTGCGAATAAGACTTGAAGGCTTCTCCTCTGCGGTTCGCGCTGGTCGTGGCCTTCTCTCCGCCCCCGGTGTCTAAAGAATAGACTGGCTACCCTGACTTGTACTGCTTGTCCGCCTTGCCCCTGTCGCGCAATCTAGCCAGACGTTCGGCCGTGCATCTGTCGCGCATTGCTCTCTTCATCTTGCGCGCCACAGGCCCCGTCAGATGGCGGATTCTCGGGTCGTCCTGTCGGGCTCTCTCGCGTTCTAACGCCTGAAGCTGCAGCGGCTGCTCGTTGCCCGCTGGGGGCCCCCGCCCGCCTCGGCGCGGGGCGTGGCCGGCGGCCGCGGCGGCGCTGCAGATCGCGGACGCCGGAGCGCTCAGCGAGGAGACTCCCTGTCGCGAGCAGCTGGCGGTGGCGCTCGGCGGTGCCAGGTGTGTCCCCAGCGCCGCGCCCGCGTCCTCCTGCAGGATGGCGGCCCGTCTGCGCTTCCAGGCAGCGCGGCAGGCAACGTAGTGCAACTCGCAGGTGTCCCTGACATCGGCCTCGCCCCTCTCGTCCGCGGGGCGGGGTCGACTCCAATGGCGAGCAGTGGGGCGAGCGTCGCTCCCCGTCTTGGCCAGCGCGTCGGCCCTCTCGTTCCCGATGTTCCCACTGTGGCCCCTGATCCAGCGGATGGTCATGTCGACATGCAGCTGGCGCTGCTCCCGGAGATGCGCGGCCAGCCCGGCGAGCTCGAAACTCTCCTTCGGCTGGAAGACCCCCTGCAGCAAGTTGCGGGCGTAGGTGGGGCCCGTGCTGACCCGCTGGCGCGCCCGGTCGCGCGCGAGCGGCGCGGGATGCCCGCGCTGGCCCACTTGCCGCAACATCATCTCCACGATGGCGGAGAGCTGCCCCGCGTTGGGAGACAAGCAGGTGGCGCCCGCGAACTTCGGGCCCCGTGGATCGACGATAACTTGGCAAAAGCGGCGTGTCCTGGTCGTTGGCTCCGCGACGTGGTAGAGAGCGAAGCCCCGGCCCGCGGCGCTGCAACGGTGCCTGTCAGCTCGTCCCCGACCGCGTCTCGCGGAGCCATCTGTGAAGATGCCCGCGGCGTTCATCATGTCCCCCTCGGTGTACATTTGCGGCGCAGGCGGCGTGTAGCTGATCTCCGGGGCCGTGCAGGTTTTGGAGTTGAAGAGCTCGCGGTCGTCGATCTGCCAGGCCGCTGGCGTGGCGGGCGCGCGATCTCCGCGGGCGGCTCCAGCTCGAGCGGCCCCTCGACCGTGGCGACGGCCTGACCCGCATGGCAACGCAACAGCAAGGGCGTGTGGTCGCTCTCGGTGGCGTAAGAGGGCGTGTGGTCGCTCTCGGTGGCGTTAAAGAAGCGTGCCTGGCAGTGTACTCGTGGTAGCCAGTCTCTGTGGATCAGCATGAAGTCGATATGGCGCGGCTCCTTGCGACTATGAAGCGAACATGTTGGTTGTCCCCATTGGCCCTCCGTGAAGGTGTTCGCTGCGATCAGATCGAACTCCGTCATCAAGTCATGGAGAGTCCCTCCTCTCCAAATCATTTCCGACATTGAATAAGGGGCCGACTGTGTCTCCGTCGGCGGGTCCCAGGCCATCCTGGGCGTCGATGCTGACAATGGCATGGCATTCAAGAAGCATCGTACTCAACCATCCTCGTTCCTGCTGCATGGTCTCTGCGTACTCACACCTGAGGATGCGTGAAGCAGATGGCCGGTGAGAGCGCGTACTCGGCCCCAGAGCGGCAAATATAAGTCTAAGGCCATGGTGCGTCCATGAATCTGAGGCGAGCCGATGACGGATGGCATCAACGTGTTGGACACCGCTATCGCGCACCGTTGCCAGGCCCCCGATGGGGGCGACACATGCGCAACGTAGCCGTCGAACTTCTGCCCAGCACCAACAGCCACGCACCAGTTCTTGAAATATGATAAACTGTGGGTCGAATTTCGATGCGATCGCATCGACCGCGTGGCTCCACTGTCTCGCAAAGACACCTCTCGCATTCCACCCTGGAGCGGTGAGGTCCCCGGTGTCGAAATCGCTGAAGGCGGGGCGGGTCATTTATCTCACCCAGTCGCTCGTCCAGCCTCATCTCCATTAGCTCCTGGTCCAAAACAACCCTGGCGAGCGGGTCGGTGCCTCGCTCGAGCTGGTCCGACGTGCGCGCCCTGCTGAGGATGCGTATCGGCCGCTCCGTGCTGTTCTTTCGGTGGGCCACCTGCCCCCGATCCCAATCGGCATCGAACGTGCGCAACCTGGTCTCCTCCGTGCAGAGGCCGTTCTGGGTGCCGTACTCCGGCAGGATGCGGACCGCGAAGTTGACCCGCCTCGCGAGCTCCACCTCATGCGGCTCCTGATCCACATTGTGCCAGAGCTGATCGTTGCGAGCGCCAGGGCACGGGATGCGTCGACCCTTCCACCTCTTCATGAACTCCCACATCTTCAGATTGCTGGCGAACGGAACTTCGCCTGGTCACAGAGCCTGCCTGCACCGTATACCTCCGTGATGCCCTGCTGATCCAATGGGCTGTGCCTCGTGAGCTCCATGTTCGATGCTTTTCGACATC